GGGCCATCTCCGAGCGTCCAACTATACCAGTCACCTCAGTACACAACAAAACAAAACAAAAAAATCCGAAAAAGTCGTCCGTCGTGTGGCGCTGGAACAACGTCGCCTTGAGGCTTCACCTGAAACGTGGACGAGTTATTCTGGAGTTTCATGCATGTCGATAAGTTCAAGAAATATACCTTACCCTTAAGCCGATCCTTCAACAAAGTGAAACTCGCTGCCGCCGTCGAACAGTCGCCCAATATTGGCTCCAAACGATGTCATGCTGGTTCAACGTCGGAGGAGGAACCACGAGTATCGCCATTTTCATTCACTGACAGTCCACTGAAAAGGTGAAAGTTACCGCATTGATAAAGACAAAATTGTAGTCAGCTAGAGCTTCGTACTCAGTAATGAGGACTCTTCCACGGAAAGGGGGTGGTCATCCTGTGTAGCACGCTCAAGGGGACTTTGAAAAACAACAAACATCCCTGTTTATCACTGCAACTTCAAAAGCCCTTGACCAAGTAGATTGAAATGTTCGCAATCATCGCCATTCACACAAACTAACACTTTAGAAATGCCCACTACTTCACGGGAAAATAGCATTATGTAGTTGACTTTCAATGTGAAGATTGCACCAATCGATAACTGGACCAATCGATGGTCATGGGGCAGTTAGAACGGGAGACATGGTGTCCAGGGAATGTTTGAGGTTCACCGTATGAACGAACTACAACCAAAGAGATGTCCAATAGAGAGATACATTAATGAAAGAACAACAAGTACTCCACTACTTGAGCTGAAAAGACCTTACCTTGGCTTTTGGGCGACTGACGAAGGGTCGCTCGCTGACGACGTTGCCTATCTAAACCTACTGTCATAAGCAAATAGACAACAAGTTATATGATAAGTAAGTATGAGTAAGTATACCTACCCTTGATCCCCGATTGGATCGCAGCTGGATAGGCGATGTTCCTTGCAGGATACGGGAACTGCGACTGCATGTCGCTGGAGCCAGCAGGTCGGGCTCCACCTTAGCTCGTACGTAACTGTTTCCGTGACAGATCTTTCTGCATGTCACAGAAATGTGCTGGTTGGATGTGAAGGTCCCTCGAATTGAGCGGGGTTGTGTAGATTGTGGAGGGTTGTGCTCATAGACGACGGACCTATCTGAATTCAGTAATATGAGTTAGTAGATAAATAAAGATACACATTAGTTTACAACAGGTATGCCCACCCTTGATCCCTGATTGGATCGCCCTGAAGGATAGGTGACCGCGTGTCCATGAACCGATAGATCGGATACCTGAAACAGATTCAGTAACTCGTGAACATGCGGCAAAACAGTAGGCTTCAACCACAGCGAGCGAGATCGACCTTACCTCACTGGTGGGCGAATGCTCTCATTTGCCTCTATTTTTCAGATGTCTCATATACGGGCAGCTGATAGGACAACACAGACAACCAAACGACCAAACACAGCATCAGATAAAAGAAAGCATGAGTTTTTCGAGATGCTGAACTTCGGCAAATGTTCATGTCCAGCTGAAATATTCACATCCATATTGATATGGTTGAGTATGCCACCAGCACTACAAAGATGGAACCGGGACTAGCATCACTACAGCCCCAGTGAAAATCCTCAACTGTAGTTCTCAGAGATTTCGAAGCAATAGGGATCTTACCTCATGATCCCCTCCTTTCGTGGCGCCTTTAGGTGTGCTCTTGACGCTTCGATAAAAGCGAAGAGCTCCTGGAAGCAAATATAGCCAGTAGGAGCTTTGAGTACGAATTCCTCAACTGTCGAGAACTTCACGTTGAAGAAGTTCACTCGACTCGATTCGAACTCTCATCTTACTCACATAGCACTCATGATTGTGCCACCCGTAGACCTTGCTATATGGGCTGCTCGCGATTCGCCTCACGACCGTTGCGTCTTGCGAGAAATGGGAGGGGCAGGAGCAGGAAATCGAGGAGTCGCCCAGTCGGCAGTGCAGGAGAAACGACATCTGAAAATACAGGGTCCGTTGGCGTTAGTGGAGTTGACGGAGAGTCATGGCAAGACCTAGCGCAATTCTTTCGTTGAATCGTCCGTCTACAGGGTGACCCACATGAAGTGTGACACAGAAAAGTAACAACAAAATTGTTCAAATCAAATTAAATAAGAAAAATTTACTCCTATACAAACATCACAAAATTGTAAACATAATGTCACATCTCAAATTCAAAATGTCCTCCTTTCGCTTTGATGCAAGCGTCCAACCTCTTTCGGAAGTTTCTAAGAATGCGCGCAATCATTTCCGGCGAAATTTCATCCCACGCTTCCAAAAGAGCTTTTTTCAGAGATTCCAAAGACCGATGCTTGATAGCGCAGGCTTTCTGCTCCAGAATCAACCACACAGCAAAATCCATAGGATTGAGGTCGGGGGACTTTGAAGGCCAAACCTCCTTCGTCCAAAAATTTGGAAGCATGGCCTCACACCACTGCAGTGTCTTCTTCGCGCTGTGGGCCGGTGCCCAATCCTGCTGAAAGATCCAGTTAACGTTTTTCGCGTTGTTCCCGGCCCAAGGGATCACCGCATCCTCCAGAATCTGCTTTCGATATATTTCAGCATTAATTTTCACTCCTTTTTCCACAAAAACCAGCTTAGTCTTGCCTAGGCCCGATATTCCAGCCCACATCATCACCGACTGTGGAAAATGAGATCTTTCGACCATGGCTTCTCTAGGCGATC